TTGTGCTAGTTGAGTTTGTTTATGTCTTAAAAAAAATTACTGATATTTTAACTAATTGAATTGGGTTCGTGTTAACCACACAAATTTCACTGACTCGGTAAGATCAAAACATCAAATGTTCACTCTTTAGTCTAACTTAAAAAATAAAGAATATAAATCGATCTTTAATTTTATTTTTTTTTGACAAAAAAAAAATAAATCTAAGAATATTAGAGATTTTTTATTGGCCCTAATTTAATTTAATAGCTATATATTTATTTTATTTTATTTTTTGTTTTTTTACAAAATTTTAATTGTACCTAACTTTTAAAAATATATTTCAATTTTTCTTAAATAATTTCTAAAATTTTTTGTTTGAGAATGTAAAAACACAAATTATATCTCTATATATATATATATAAACCAAATTTATTTCCATAAATTAAATAGTTTTTTTTTTTAAATTTAAACCAAATTTATTCAACTCACTTCTCACGTGATCCCTTAAAGATCCATTCCCTTTACATAGTGTTGTTTAAATTTTTTTTATTTAATCTCTAAATTTTTCAAAATATCTGATTAGTCCTTCAACTTTAAAATATTTCAAAACTTTTAATTTTACGTCTAATAAATTTAGATTCAAATTTCAAAAAATTAATTCATTTATTACCTATAAAACATATTTTAATGACATTATAGCATATATATATATATATATATATATATATAATTAATGGAAGTCAACTTGTTATAAAGTCAAAACTCTAAACAATTATTCATAAGGAGAGTATGATGACGTGGACATTGAGATTTAAATAGATATTTCCTCTTTTCCAACTCTCACTTTCTTCCTCTCTCCCATGTTAATGATATGTATTTTATATATTAAATAAGTGGAAATTTGTGATTATTCATTTATGCGGATATTTTATAAATATTTTTTTTATTTTTGCAATAAAATAGAAACCTCAATTCTATAAACAAAAATATTTTAAAAAAATGATAATTTATTTTGAAATTCTAAAAATTATTAAATAAGAACACGAGACTAAACTAAATAAGAGAGACATTTTAACTATAAATTTGATAGTCATCATTTATATTTAATATTAAATATTATTATGACATTAATATTTTAAATAATATTCGTAGTTTTGAAACATTTTAAAAAAATTAACGATGTTATTATAAATTTTAAAATAAATGACAGGTATTTTTGTATCAAAATATGTGGGTGAAAATTGTTCTCTTTCTTCTCCTTTATAAACTAATTATAAAATTCTCCGACACCAATTCTAGTGGCAACACCTTTGCTTACGCATGAATTAGCATGCCTAATTTTTAGTGACGTAATTATTTTTATATTTATTTTCATCTCCAAATCTTAAATATTTTCGAAAACTAAATACATGGTTTGACTGTAGTAGCACCAAATACTTACTCAAACAAACGGATTCGAGCAATAACTCAACTGACATGTGATATCTGTTGGATGATGAAAGTCCCACATCGGTTAATTTAGGGAATGATCATGGGTTTATAATCTAAGAATACACTCTCCATTGGTATGAGGCCTTTTGGGAAGCCCAAAGCAAAGCCATGAGAGCTTATGCTCAAAGTGGACAATATCATACCATTGTGGAGAGTCGTGTTCGTCTAACATGGTATCAGAGTCATGCCCTAAACTTAGCCGTGCCAATAGATTGGCAAATCCTCGAATGTCGAACAAAGGACTCCAAAAAGGAGTCGAGCCTCCTTGAAGGTACGAAGGCAGTCAAAAATGACTAAGACTCCAAAGGAGTCAAGCCTCGATTAAGGGGAGGCGTGCTTTGTTCGAGGGGAGGTGTTGGATGATGAAAGTCCCACATCGGTTAATTTAGGGAATGATCATGGGTTTATAATCTAAGAATACATTCTCCATTGGTATGAGGCCTTTTGGGAAGCCCAAAGCAAAGCCATGAGAGCTTATGCTCAAAGTGGACAATATCGTACCATTGTGGAGAGTCGTGTTCGTCTAACAATATCTAAGTAAGTAAGGGGTACATGAATAAACCAAGGCTACATCCGAACAAGAGCGATTATGAGAATAGAATGATTAAGAAATACTTAAAAGAATTTAAAGTTCTTTTTTTCGGGGCTCAATCATAGAAACTCTATGAATAAGCGTAATTTTTATAAGATGCATGAACAAATACAAAACATGTTGGAAGGTCTAGGGTTAGTCTGTGTAATGAGTTTTCACTGTTACAAGTAATGTACGAAAATACTAGAGTCTCATAAAGTGTCGAATCTTCGTTACAGAACATATTTAAACAGATATCCATCCCTACTATTAAATTGACATACGACATCACCTGTCAAATTTTTATCAAAAAGTTAGTACAAACGAGAATTGCATCCCTTTTTTCGTTAAAGGAAAGTAAAATAAAAGGGTCATTTTTAAAAAAGAGTCACGTTTGGCCTATGATATATGGAGGCACCTTTGTGTATATATGTGGATTTTCATTGTCCTAACGGCCACATATTTATTTACATTTTTCTTTAAAGGATAAGGTTTGGACTTTGATTAAAAAAATAAATAAGCCTTATACCGCTACTTGCCATACTATTTTAAACCAATTATTAATTTATTTAATTTTTAGGTCAACTTTTTAATTTCCTATAATTTTAATAACACTTCTTTTTGTATTTTTAAATTAATGTGGTTATCAATTAGTACAGTTGAAATTAAATATGATTGAATTTGTCTCTTGCGTTGCTTTTGGGGAAGAAATAATAAAAAATTGTTGATTTATTTAATATTTTTTAGTTTTTTATTTTATTTTATTGATTTATTTAATATTTTTTAGTTTATTTTTCTTATTAAAATATATGTTTATAAAAAATTGTTGTTATATTATTGAAAAATATATATATATATATATATATATATATATATATATATATAAAAGAAATAATTTAGACTATTTTTTATGAATATAAATGATAAGCCATATTCCGTATAAAAAAAATATTTTTAGAATTTTATTTTTGTAATAAAAAGTAATAATTTTTAATTGCGAAGGAATCTGAAATGTTAAAGAAAATGTCAGATTCTTAACCACAAAAGCATCGACAATTCGATTTTAAAATAATTTAAATTTCGTAATATTTAAATAAAATGTCAGAGAAAAAATAAATAAAGAAAAGAAAAAAAAACGGCGTTGAAAGAACGCCGCATCTTTGTTTGGTTTGAAACGGAGTCTCTGCTGTCCGGTTTCCGCGCTTTATTATTATTATTATTATTTTATTTTAAAATAAAATTCCCAAATTGGCCTTTGGAAACAACCCCTGGACCGTTTTCCCAAGGGTCATTTCCTTAATTTCATTAAAATATAAATATTTTTAAATAATTGACGATATATAATAAAAATAGATTTTTTTTTTGGCTTTCTTCTTTTTTTTTCGCTACCCCAAAATAAAATAGCATTTAAAACTTTGTTTTTATATTCCTCCATTTATTTTTATAAATTAATTAGTTATTTAAATATTTTTTAAACAAATGCTTTTATAAAAATGACATTATTAGAAGAAAAGTAAAAGTAAAATTGATGTTTGTAATGATTTCAATAATTAAAATGTGCTAATAAAAAATGTAAGTGGAGACAAATAATAATAATTGCCCATCTTTATCCTAAATGTTGGGATATTTTAAATTATTTTTTTATTAAAGAATTTAAATAATTCATGAATAGGTATTGATTTTTCTAATGTGATTGTGACTTTATATGCAACTTGGCTAGACGTTTTTTCAATTACGTGCAATTTAACTTGAAAATAATAGTTCATTAATGTCATGCAAATTTCCTATCATATTTATTACTTAAATCACATAATATTTAAATTTCAATATCATTTATTAAAAATAATTTCGAAAATAAAAATTAAGTCTAAATAGTCAATAATAATATTTTTAAAACGGAAATATATACTAATTTGTTTTAATTAAACATGTTAAAGAAGGGTTTAAAATAAAAATAAAATAATTGATTAGGGACTTTTGAATGAAGTAAGGAACATAAAAATTAAATAACAAGTAATGTTCTAAAATAAAATAAAATAAAATAAAATAAAATAAAATAAAATATAGAAAAGGTGCAATGAACCTGAACCAGCAAAATGGGCGGTGCTGAAAAAGTGAAACCCTGTCACGCGCTGACCAATTCTCGTCTCCCACCTCTCAAAATCTTTTTAAAATTTTTATTTTAATATAGTAAATTAATAAAAATATTTTTTTATAATAATTTAAAAAATATTTAAAATTTAAAAAGTATTATAGACTCTCATGGCTTTGCTTTGGGGTTTCTAAAAAAAACTCTCATACCAATGGAGAATTTATGTCATATTTTCATCCAACCGTTTCTATCATATTTTCATTTTGGTTCCGATAGTTTTCGATATTGTAGAGTCAAACCATTGACATCCACCACAAGGTAAACCACCGTCTCTCAGATCCCGACTCATTCTACGATAGAGGCCAACAATAGACAATAAATCATCGTGTTGTACTCTCTAACGAAGGGAATTGTTGACCTAAAAAAATATGGAGTACTATCTAGGGAATTGTTGACCCCTAGATATCAAAGCCTCCGTGGGGTTGTCTCCGCACATTTGAGCCTAATTTGGACGTTAAAATGTATACGAACAATTAAAATATTCGATTTTTTTTTATTATTTGTTGACCTAAAAAAATAATAAAATAAAAATTAGCTAATTTCTTTTAGGAAAGAAATTGATCACATAGGTTCGAATCCCGCTCGAGTCAAAAGAATAAAAAATAAATTGACCATAGTAGACCAAGCTGGCATCTCAATGGAACCTTTGTTTCTTTCACAAACAAAGAAGGTTCACAGAAACCAAAACCCCAACCTAACTGCCGCATCTCCTACCTCCACGTGTACGGGTATGATTAACCGCGCTTCCCGCCTACTTTGACGAGTTCCGTTTCTAACCCTAACAAATTACCTCTATATAAACCCCTCACTGCCCCATCTTCCTTCATCACCTCCATTTTCGAAAGAAAAGAAAACTGCTTCATACACATAGAAAAAGCTCGATCCGGTCCTCTAAGAAATTTCTCCTCCTTGCCGTGGAAGATTTTCTCGAGAAACAATCTTGTTCCGACGAAAATCTTTCTCCACAAGCAGCAGCGTGTTCCGAGATCGATTGTTTGCTTTTTATATTCGTTTCCAATGGCTCGCTCTTTCTCCAACGTTAAGGTCCTCTCCGCTCTTGTTTCTGATGGCTTCTCTTCCGCTCTAAGCCGGTATTTCCTGTTTTTCTTTGATCTGTCTCGATTGTAGTGTTATTTTCTTTTTTGTCGATGTTTATTTTGGTTGTTGCTTGTTTGTTTAGGCGTGGTTATGCGGCGGCTTCGCAAGGAGTTGCGTCGAGTGCGGTTAAAGGAGGAAGTGTTGCGGTGGCGAGGAGCGGTAATATGTTGAAGAAATCGGGTGAGGAGAAGGTTGTTGGATCGTCTGAGAAGGTTGCTTGGGTGCCGGATCCTGCCACTGGCTATTACAGGCCGGAGAATCGCGGCGATGAGATCGATGTTGCAGAACTTAGATCGATTCTTCTTAAGAACAAGAACTGAAAGGATTAATAACAATAAGTAACCTTAAAGATGATCGGATTCTATTCAGCGTAAAGAGACCTTCTGGCTTCGGATCGAGATTGAAAGAGGATTGGATCGGGCATGAGCGTTAAATTTGAGAAGCAGTTTGGGGATTGGGTGACACACTATCGCTTCCGTTTAGACGTTAAGTTTTTCTTTACCACAACTTTTCCATTGCACTCTGTTTTTAGAATTTGAATGTTTCGTTTCCTGTGTACGGTTACGCTAAAATACACAATGAATGAATGGTTGAAATAGACATTTGTGTAGCCTTTGGCTTCTGTTCTTCGTGTTCTACAAATTCCTTTTCCCTTTCCTTTTCAATTTGTTGATTACAAAACTAAATTAACGCGGAACCTCTGTTCTAGAAGAGTAGAGAAGCTTGCCTTCTGGTGAAAGAACAGAGTCAGTAAAGCCTGATTTGGAACGATGTTTATGATTTCATTCCTAATGAGATGACGCTTCTGCTTTCAACTGTTCATGGCTTACAACGATTGGATGTATGAATTCAATTTTCCTTTTCTTTATGATATGCGTATGATAATTATGATTCATAGACTGTTCTTTTACTCATCATTACATAAATTTTAATGGAAGTTATTATTTTAATTTTAGGTAAAAGTATCATTTTCCCCCTGAAAACATTGGATCAAAGTTAACTTGGACGACTGCGATTGGTTAGACCTTTGAAAGTACCCTTAACGGAATAAATTTCGTGAAACTTTTAATTAATTTGTTATTGGAAGGTTCATGTGATTAAATTAATTTTCGCTACCCAAATGGGTGTTAAAAAACTACCAAAATGTGCCATCTTGATTTTATCGATTCAAAAAAGTTCCACCACTCGTTGCTGGGTTAACCACAATGACGTGGTGGAGATCACAATGTGTGATTAAAACATAATTTAATTCTTAAACTCGAATTTTAGTAAATTCTACCTCTCAAATTATTAAATACTGTTTTTTAAATTATAATTATGAGGACTATTTTTTTTAAATTTGTAAAATAATCCTTCACTATCGTTGTGGGCCACACGACAACGTTAACCACAATGACGTGGTGAGATCACAATGGGCAACATTCCATGAACTTGGTTCTCCTTCACGACAACCACATGGTGAGAGGATATTAAAGGGTGGGGTCTTGTTTCTAAGTTGGTATCTTCATTTTTTCATTTCAAAATATCCAACTTCATAATTGCAACAAAAAAAAAATATATATATATATAAAAAATATAAAAAATAAAATAATTGACCGAAAAAGCAAAGACATTATCGATACATTTTACTAGCCAACTATTGTTCTATCAATTTCATATATCATTCACATCAATTCCCAAATATTTCAATAAGTTTGTAAGATCCAATTCAATTTGGTTCAACTAGTTTGTAAGACCCAATTCAAGTTGGTGTAACAAATTAAGTTTTAATTCGATCTTTATTAATGACATTAATTTATTTTTATTTTAAATTTTTAAAAATTAATTTCAATGTCAAACTTTCTATTTCCATCTTATAAGAATCCTAAATTTTAATAAATAAAGTCAAATCAAGAAAAAAATGTCATAATTTAAAATTAAAACTAACATAAACAATACCCTATCAATATTTTATATATTAGCAAAAATGAATACACTAACACTTTCAACTATCTTCATGCCTCTTCCCACTACTCAAACGAGCAATTTTTTAGATAGTGATAGTGATGAGATGAGTGTATCATTCAACAAAACATACTCGATTTGACAACAAAAAAGCATTCAATATATTAATATATTAAGTCATGAGAAAAAAATCATGGGAATATAATACAATCTCCTAAATGGTATTTATTGTACCAAGTAAAAAAAAAAAAAAAAAAAAAAAAAAAAAAAAAAAACCCTTAAATGGAGGCTATAAAGTCTAAGTTTGAAAGAGTCAAAAATTTGTTTCATAATTACCTTAAAAAAAAAAGTAGGATTGACAATGTTTGTTTGGTTTATTTACTAAATTATACTATTTAGTTCTTAAATAATAATAATAATAATAAATAAAAAAAAAGAAACATTTTGTGATATTATTTCACTTTCTAATTTACTCTTAAAAAAACATTTAAGGGATCCAAGTGAAATTTGAAAACTATGAGTAATTCTTTTAGGGGGAAAAAACTAAAAAATTTGTAATAAGATAAAATTTGAAAACTGAAACAATAATTAAATATAAAAAAAAAAAAGGATTATTATTGTTATCATTATTATTTATTTATAAAAAACTGCACCCCATGAACAAAGAAAACATCACAAGCACAATGGTCTAATTTCTACTGTCAATCAAATTTGTTGAATATGAGCTCAAATTCATCTGAGACCCGAGTTGGTGGTGAATACCATCTAAGGGCATTATTTATTGAATTATATTTTCATTTGTTAAAATTCAAATCTCGATAGGATACGATCCAATTGGAAAAGTGAAAGAAAAAAAAAAAAATTAAGAGGCTCTAGAGCAAAAAGAATTAGAAGAAACATTGGAAATCCTACTCAATTCCAACAGCGAATCAAACATTCACAACATAATTATGCATTTATCTTATTAATTTAGCCCCCATTTCCACCAAAAAATTTCCCATCAATTTAAACCCCCAACCAATTTAAAATCAAGAGATTCCTACCTGAGATTCGAACCCAACCCAACCATTTCCAGTTCAAGCTGGTGAAACAAGAGATTTGGTTTTGATTTTTCCCCCTTTTCCATTCTTGCAATCGGCTCCACACCCACCCGGCGGCAGGCACTCGGAGAAATTATCCACTGGAAACGACGCCGTGGCCACCCCCACCGAGAACAGCAGATCGTCGCCGTTTCTCACCACCTCCACAATGTTGACCCAGAAGAACATGAATTTCACAGTCACCCCTTTCAGATCCGTTAGCCTATTCTTTGAGATCTGCCCACTAATGGTGGCTTTGTATCTCAATTCATACGGATCTTCCGGCGAGAATTGGCATGCTTCATTCAAATAAGCCTCCAATTTTCCGGTGGTTCGATCAAGACTACAACCCACAACACCTTCTGGGAGGAGGCCTATTGGGAAGTTGAATTCCCGGAGAATGTCGTACACCGACGGTGCTTCGCCGTTGTTGGTGGCAGGCGATGCAGCGGCGGTCGACATGGAGATGTGGAAGAATGTGGGCAGGGGAGGCTGAGGTTGAGGCTAATGCTAATGCTAATGCTGTGGCAACGAGACCATTGAGGGGGGAAAAATAGTTGTTTCTTTTCCTTGGTTGTTCTAAAAATAGGGTCTCCCATCTCTCCCTCTTTCCCGCTGAGAAAATTTTTATCCCACCATTTTCCTGGAAAATTGATGTGGAAATGCTATGGCTGACTGGGAAGATTCTAAATTTAAGAACACAGAAATAGAGGGTAGCAGCAAAAAAATAGGTTTACGAGAACTAAGGACATGCTAATCAAACACGTGCAACTCATAGAATGGTGGTCATTTCCAAGAGCAGATCATACAAACATTGAATTCCAAAATTCCCCCAAGTTTCCATTCGATGAACTTACCAAGAAATTCAAATCAAGCTATTTTGCCTAAGAATTCGAACTTTGGATCAATTCACCAAAAAGAATTTGGTAGTGCAAACAGTGGCTGAAGATTGAACTCCAACATGAGCTTCTCTTCTTCATGATATCTATGATTAAAAACGAAGAGTACACTCTGATACAGAGATCCTATTAAAATCACGGTTCTACAAAATGATATGATATTATCCACTTTGAGCACAACTTGCATGACTTTTCTTTTTGTTTTACCAAAAGATCTCGTACCATTGGAGATGTATTCTTACTTATAAATCCATGACTATTCCCTAAATTAGTCCCTCCCATTCAGAACAGATCCTACCAGCTGATATGGTGGTCTTAGAATTTTACATCACCTAACAAGATCCCAAGAATCAGCCCCCAAGGGGGTAGGGATGGTGGGTCTCTAACAAGATCCCAAGAATCAACCTCCAATTGGTTGTTCAAAGGAAACTCCTGATGTCTCCACAATCTGGGTTGGAAGTGGGGTCAGACTTTCTTTCTAAAAAAGACAGGATCCCAAAAAGTATGTTTTCACTCTGGGAGTTCCAGATTATGTGAAAAAGGAACCAAGAACAATGGTCTAAAAGAACTTGAAATGAACAATCCAGATGGATAAGAATTGATTCTAGAACTGTACCTTCTCCCATTATGGTGGCAGTACTAAACAGTTCAAAGGCAGACTATGACCAACAACAAGGCATATTTTTCAAGATCTGGGAACTAGCTAACAGACAGGAAACGAATGCCAATGGAAAAACAAAAGGAATATGATCTAACTGACTCATAATTGACCAATTGAACAATAGGCCTCAGTGAGAAAATGAAACCTGAGGGAGAGGCTGCCAATGAAAAAAAGGCGGAATATCATCTGATTGACGAACTGAAAAGTAGGCAGAGTATGAAAAAGAAGCCAGTAAACGGAAGCCGACTGATGAAGATAAGAATCTAGGGTTTCAGACAAACTGATTATGCGATTGATGCCATAGATGATTAAAAATGTGCAACCATTAAACCTAATAGATTGAATTGTTCAAATAAAAAATAAGCAATCGAATGCATGAAGAGAATCAGAGAGAGGCAGCAGATCACAATGGCAGAAAAATACAATTCTATTTTCCACCGAAGAGACGATTATTTCAACAAAAGTAGAACAGAACAATAGATAGAGGTAATCTCGATCACCTAAACTGCACTTAAATGTAAGTTCAAAGCAACAAAACATCGCTATATTTGAAGTGGTCAAAGAGATTCAAAACAAAACATTCCATAAATCATTAAACACATATATTACCAAATTTCAAGAAGCCGAAACCAAGCTCCCAACCTTGTCGCAGTCAAATCCACATCCACAATGCGGCGATTCATAGAAACTATTAATCGGAAAATTAGCAGAGGCAACTCCGATAGAGAATCGAAGTTCGTCACTATCGCTAACGACTTCAACGATGTTGAACCAAATCAACAGGATCTTAACACTAACACCTTTCAAATTTTTGATTATGCCTTGAGAAATCACGCCCTTGACGGTAGGTTTGTACTCCAATTCGTAGGAATCGATCCAGAATCTGCACTTCCGATTCAAAAAGAGGCTGAACTCTCCGGTGGCTTTGTTGAATTCGTAGCCAGTAACACCGACGGGAAGAATGCCGACAGGGAAGCCGTACTGCTGGAGAATATCGTAGGCGGAGAGAGATTTTTGAGCACAGGCG